GGTAGCAGACAGAAATGCAGCATCCATGTAGCACCAACACTCAGCCCTTTTTTAACTTTTCAGATATTCCCTTTGAAGATAAATTGAATGCTATTTTCAAGCTACACTAAACACTGACGTATCATGATTTAGATTTCTATGATCAAACACTTTGATCAGATTAATTGGCAGATTATATGGTAAAGGCAGTGGAGGATTTCTCTAAAAAACACACTACCAGAGTAGAATGAACAACCATGTGCCTGAATCTACAGTACATTATTACACAAAGACTCACTGTGAGCCATTTATGCAGAACTATATGCACACTTCCTTAACAAATATGAAGGCCTAAAGCACCACATTGCAAGCTTTTGGGGGACAAGCATGAATTTTAAACAAATGACAATATATAAAGTAATGGAAAAAGTTGTTTATTCAAAATGAGCAGTGAGAGCCATCGTGGCTGATAAGATTAACAGTTCTACCTATGGACGTCAAACTTTCTCAACGGAAAAGCAAAACAGCAAAAATACCACAAAATACCAGATTGCTTAGCAACAACATTGCCAAAACATCTCCCCAAACAACCCCCCTGTGGGGATTTCAAGGATTATTACTTTAATCCTTGTGGACCTGCTTGGAGGTTTACAATTTAATACTTATCCTGCACCAGTGAAAAGGGTGAATATAATGTTTAACAACTTACAACTCAGCTACATCCTGGTTCCAACTGTATTCTTGCACCCAGAAAGTAAAACTAATAAGCAGACAAGCAGTGAAGGTTCACAACTTACTGTGGACTTGGATCGCACAGTTAGTGAGCCTGATGTGGGTCTTCTCTGGAACAGTCCGGGTTATTTTGGGTCCAACCAGCTTTCAGAGCCTTGGATGGGTCAGTGTCATGGGTTTTGTCCTTCATTGATGATCCTGAACTGAGGACAGAGTATATTCTACTGGAGTCATCACACAGATTTATTACTGTGTCATACATATTTAATTCACAACACTTTTACTATCAATATTTTATATTAACTATGCTATATTAACTATAGACCAGGTGACTATGTATAATATGAAAGAGGTTACTCAAACAAACACACAGAGAAATTTTACCCCGTTTTAGTGTCATTCAGCTCATTGTTTAGGTTTTCTTTACTTGAACTTTTTTTACTCTCATCTGTTATATTGCTGTTTTGTCACATATTTTACCTGCGATTTGTATATCGCACTTGGCCATATTGCAATTTTGATAATATTGCTCTTAATAGTGCAGCCTTATTCATAGTAAGACTGATCGAGTTTCCCACATTCAAAAACACTTGAAGCTGAAATTAGACAAGAAGGGGTTGTCACACAGAGCTTGAATAAAACTATAAACCAACTAACAATTTATCTGGTTTTGTGAGGCCACACCTGCTCAGTCACAACCCATTTAATCCTGCTAAGCTAAATGTTTCAGTCAGCTACAGTCATAAATAAATATACATTCAAGCTTACAATTCAGAGCTCCCTATCCTTAAGAAGACCTTTTCTCTGTATGACCATGTGGCCCATTCATATCCAGTAGCATTCAGTAAACTGAAATAGTCCTTCAAATTGCCTTTTTCCTAGAACAACATTTTCCCTCTTACTTCTCTTTACTGAAGGGAGACCCCTCAGATAGTAACTGAACAGTGCTTGATTTTTATGGCATTGTTAAAGGGGTAATCATAGTGGCATTTGCCACTATGATTACTCTATGAATTGGCCTCCCTCGGTTAGGCCTTCTTATAATTTCCAGACCCCGGTTGAGAGCAGCTCTGTATTACACCAATTAGAGCGGTGAGTCATATGTCATTGGGCACCAGAGAATTCAGCCTCCTCCACTTTGTGCTATAAATTTACCTCTAGCTGTTCCACTGTCAAGGTCTATTGTCATTCTGCTGCTGACTGACAGGTGAAACTAATAGGTTGCCTAAATGCTGGGTTCAGGGCAGCGTTGTAAAGGGTATGTGTGTGAGGAGGTGAAAGATCAGGGTTAAATCTGATATTATATTGCAATTGCTATCATTCATCTCCTTTTAATCACTTTATTTTGCACGAGTCACGTACCATCTCTGGGTGATGTACAAACTCGTTGCTCTTTTTAATATGTATCGAGCTCTTTCACAGCAATGTCAGGGGCTAGGCCCAACCCCAAAGGCTTAATTAGATTAATGGAAGAGATGGAGAGGATCTAATGACGTATCTCCCTGCATCACTGGACAGCGGAAAGATGGAGAGGCTTGAAAAAGTGCATCATCACTCGCCTGCTTCCTCCTCCACTCATCCTCTCCTCTCTTCTGCCCCAGACAGGTCAATGGTCCTTGAGAACGCTCTGAGATACATTACTCAGCCCACGGCTGAGTCAAGCCCCATCTGCATCGCTGTGGAATTTGGTTGGTCGTTCCCCAGCATGACAAGAGGAATGGAAAAGCAGAATATGGGCCGAGTGGGTGGGTGATAGTGGTGCAATTTTATTCTTAACGACAAGCAAGCGTATGAGTGTCTCACTGAGATAAGGGCTAAATGAAAACAGAAAAATATGCAAAGAAAATGAAAATGACAATGCAGAGAGATTAATGAGCGGAAATAGCCATGCTTATAGTTTATCGTGCTGATTATGAAGTCAGCTAAATGTATTCATGATGTGGAGTCTACATGCTGTCAATTACTGATAAACTACTGTCACTGTATACAGTTTATATACTCATTTTGATGAGGGGACCCTTGTGCTACAACTATCACGTGCACAGGGATAGACATGTATGTGCATGAGCACCAGGTGGCGCAACACAGTCCAGGTGGATTCACACAGTGAAAACTGTCTATAGGCCCCTTTTTATATTCTCAGAATCATTTACCGTAAAATCTGAATGTTTCTGATGGAAAATTAACATTCCTAACACAACTGCAAGTGATCAGTGTTAAAAAAAAATCAAGCACAGAAAATAAAATGTGCTTGTGTCCTGACCTGTTCAGGATCCTACCTTTGCTAGTTACAAGGTAGAAAATATGTCAGGGAACTCTGTGATCTAGCTATAATTTTGCAGAAGGCTTTGTTAATGCAACTTGCTAAAGTTACAATGGAACATTTAAACTCATAAATTGATAATATAGGGACAACTTCTGCCAGAAGGAACATGGAATTCGTTTGTTAGGTCTCAAGGATGCAATCAGATATTTTAGTGAAAACACTAAATACTACCCAGAGTACCTTTAAAACAAAATTTCACTTAAATCTAAAAATAAAATAAAAAATAAGTACATGAAACATGAAAAGTAATTTTATTGTAATTGGCCACGCTTCATATTTCATTTGCGAATTTAGAATGCAACAGTATAAAATTCATGACAAAATCAACAACAAGCTTCTCATATTAAGTTTTATTTGTATTCAGTTTCGAACAGTAGAGCAGCATTCATTGCCATTTCTCTTGAAGTCACATTTTCAATCATGAATACTTTTGTTTCTCTAATGATTTACTCATAATTCTCAGTTAAATAGCACATTGCTGCACCCTGACAATAGTAGCTTATTGATTTAAAGCATTCAGCATGTGCCACTGCTGGATGTTGAATCCAAGGATGAAACACCTTAAGATGCAGTCCCTGAGATGGCCAATAGTAGCTCCAAGAAGACTCCAACTGCACTGAACAAAGAACCTCACCAAATCTGCTCCATGTGTTGTGGTGGCATTTTTGTTTTGAAACTGTTGTTTCATTAATAAGATAGTAAGGTTTAAAGGCTTACATTTATTTGGAGCACCCTGCTTAACGGAAATGTGTCTCATCATACTCAGGTACTTGCTTACGATTCAATCCCACTGCAACGCTATTGACTACCTGTCAGTGCCGCTCTTTATGAGACTGCGGCACATACTTGTTTTCAGTTAAGTTGGGCCTAACACAACCACACGGTCTTACCATTGCGTGCAGATGACATGTTCTATCTACCCCCGAGTGTAAAGGATGAGCACGTTAGCCTTGTGTATAGTTTTCACTCTATGGCACCCTCAGATTGACTGATGCAGAATTTCGACGAAGTCAATTAAAGTCGGTAAAAAATTCTTAATGATTACCTCATCACCATCTATAGGAATATTACTTATATTTTGTTTTAATGTTTAATAAATAAATTTATTAATTATTATCAGTGTTTGCTTACATGCCCCATGTTATTGGTCCCCCTGATTTCCTATTCATTATTATTCCATTATCATAAAGTAAGGGAGATAAGCATAGTCTCTATAAATAATAGTAGTAAACACGTACGCACAATTCTGTAAGCTAGTTTTGAAAACATCTCAATCTAGTATGAATCTACCATGAACACACAAGCCATCAGGAAAGAGTTGAGTATTTTCTATATAATTCTTAATTTGGTCAGATTCCCCTTAAAAACAATGAAACAAGGCAGTAGAAACACTACTGCCTTTAAACACAGGGGCTTCGGGCAATCAACAAAAAATGAAAGTTCCTTGTTGTGTTTTAAGTAAAAGACCTGAGTGCTGCTTACACCACCATCTTTACAACTGAACTTGTGGGATTTACTTTAATCTTGTCATTATTTTTCCTCTGTATACCACATTATGTTTCCCTGAAGGCACAAGAATCATTTTGTCAATATAACTTATTATATAACATACTGTAAAAGTGTCTTGTGCATAGATACATTAACAGTTTGTGGTGCAGTGCAGTCGACTCTAAGTGCAGTGGTTAATGCAGTCTGTATGTATGTACTCCATGCACTTGTAATTTGTATAGGCAGACCTCAAGTGTCTCAGCCCTGCTTTAGTGGTTACCTAAGCCGTTTGGGATCTTATATGAGATAGTGATGGGCTTAGATGTCACTGGTGATAGTGGGGGCTGCTCTCTGTGCAAGAGTATTAGTGACGCTAAAAGCAGTAGCAGCAGCAGGATCTTTCAGCTCCTTAGGAGTCTGTTCCTTCTCTACATAGTGCACACAGCAACGCAGATGCACCTATAGGTTTGTAGACATGTTTGGTAAGTTGAAGGCCCTCTTCAGTGGCCCACCGCTGCCAGCAGCTTCGGGGACCACTGGAGCGGCCCCTGAACCAGCTCCAACTCCAGCTCCAGCTCCAGCCAAGGTAAGACATGTAGAAAACAGTGTGCTGTATATTCAGTGAGTAAATGAAAACTGTAAGATATTGTTATTCTTATCCAGTGTCTTAATGCATATTGGATTCTTCTGTGAGGCTCTTACTAGCTTTCAGTAGCTTTCATATTATTTCATATTGCATGTGTGCCAGTAACAGCAGTAGCAGCCAAGACTAAAATCAAGCATGACCACAAAAAAATTAAATATTGCATCCAGACTGTGATACAGCAAGTTTGATTACATTTGTTTCTCTTAAGATCACAGCAGTGGCTTCTTATCTGCTCCTCCATCCATTCTGTTTGCTCAGTACTCTTGCCAACAAAGAATCAAATGAAATTGTTCCATTACACGGACATCATTGAAATCGCTCATTACCCGACGGGCACTTTTGAATTTTATTCATCGCAAACACAGCTTGTTTAAAGAGCCTGTCCGGCAAAGGAGTCATTTGTCAAATGCTAAACTCACTATTCTTTAAAAATATTGTGTCTAAATTAAAATGTCTCTCTAATGACCGCGGGTTGACTAATGAAGCCGAACATCTGACTTTATGGAAAATGCTGATTTGTGGTGTAGGAGGAGAAGCCAGCCGATAAGGAGAATGAAGCCAAGACAGCGGACAAACCGCAGGGTAAGTTACCATTCATCTGAGAGGCTGAAATGGCACATTTAGAGAGGAAATTACTACCCTTTTTGTTTTGTTTGTGTCAGATAGGCTTTCTTCATGATGACTCTCCTTTACCTCTCTCGTACCAAAGCCTGTGCTTAAAACTGTATCCCAGGCAGATACTGGGAAGACTGGGTCTTACAAGGTGGTTCAGGTATATGTTGTGACTTTCTGTTGGAGTTTCAAATGGCTGTAATCAGATCTGCATGGAGAGATATTGATCAGGAAGAAAAATCTTATCAATAAGACAACAACACAAATGACACAAATTGACAGCAAAATTGACATTTTGTGTATGCTGTCTTTGGATGTTTTGGATGGTTTGTTCTTTTCGCCTGCTGAGACCAGAATAAAATGCATTACACAAATCAAGTCTGGAGGACATAAATGTAATTAGCATTGTTCCCCTTTCTCAGAAGCAGCCCCAGCCCCAGCCCCTGCACCAGCATCAGCTCCAGCACCAGCACCAGCAG